CTGGTCCAGTCCCAGCTGGGTGCAGGTCCTCGCCCACCCCGTGTCATTGTGGCACTGAGCACCTCACGCTCCCCTCCTCCTGCCACCCCAGGTGACCTCCCCAACCCCTTCTCCAATAATTATCCCCTTCTCCCATGGTCAGGTCTCCAGCTGCTGTGCCAGTTGGCTCTGCATGCTCAGCTTGCTCCAAATCAACGCCAGGCAGGATTTTCCCTCTTCCCACCCAGTCCCCAGGTCCCCTTCCCCAGGCAGATTTCATCCTCCTCTCCTGTCAGAGCAAGCCATCCCCCCAGTCTGCTGGCAGAGCGTGTCCTGGGGCTTGGGCAGATGCTTGGTGGAGGAAGATGTGTTATTTCCTCCCAGGCATCAAAGTCCTTGCACTGATTCACCCTAGCCGGAGAGCTGTCACCAGCTGGGGACATTCCTTGCGCCGTGAAAGGGCATCAGTGTAACAAAAGATCCCCGGGGGATTACCCAGCTCCTTCCTCTCCATTTGGCATCAAATAGGATCCTGCTGGAGACCAAAATCCCAGCCCTGTAGTAACAACAGGATCCGGCCAAGATCCTCCTTCCCCAGTTCAGCCACAGATCCCCTGTGCCCCAGCACCCCGATGAGCCAAGAACTGACCCCAGCTCCTGCCCCCATCTCCCCCCCGGCTTCCCCGACTCCCTCGCTTCCCTCTGCTCAGGACCAGATGGCTGATTCGCTCCGTGGCTCTGCTCTCCTTCTCCTGCCCGGAGTCCCAGCTGACCACTTTGTCTGTAATAGTCCTCGGAGGGGAATTACAACCGAGTATTAAATGTGTGGTTAAGGAAATCGCATTACGCAGCGCGCTGGAAGGGAGACGCTTCCCTTTAATCTGTAATCCATGGAAGTTATTAGTTCAGCGAGCGGAGCGTCCAGGCACAGCATTGCCATTCAGAGAGAACCCTGAGCAGCCCATCACCCCCACGCAGGCTGCAGCACAGCATCCCTCACCCTGGCACAGTCCCCACCCCGCTGCTCCCCGTTCTTCCGATGCCATCGCCGGGTTAACGTGGGGCTGTTGAACACCACAGGACAGAGAAGGGAAATAATCACCCTCGAGGGCCGAGACGCTCCCGTGAAATAATGTTTGTGTGTCGTGTATCCTGTCCTACAGGTCTATGCAATATTAGTTAGTCACCCTCCTGCTCCCAACGACCACCTAACACCAACACCCGTATCATACACAGCTGGCTTCTACAGGATCCCTGTCATTGGTCTGACAACACGCATGTCTATATATTCTGATAAGGTAACTGATGCACGTTTCTAGTCTAGTACCTCGTACGTGTGGTATAAATCAAGAGTGCCCATCAGGAGGGTTAATGATATCTACACTACCCTGCCTATCTCTGTGTCTGTCTGTCCATCCATCCTCTCCAGTCCAACCTCTCTCTCCCCGCTGCATTCCCCGGTACGTTGTTTTTTTGCAGCTGCCAGTGTTGACCTACATAGTGCTGGATGATTCCTGCAGTGCTGCTCTGCCAGGCTGCCGGGCTCGCTGCTCTTCAGCCAGGGCAAATGCCCAGACTAGCTCCTGTCCTGCTCACTAGTGACAGCTGGGGGGTCCTGGGTGCTCCCTGGGTGCAGGGGGACCTGTGAGGGGCAGGAGGATCCTAGTGTAGCCTGTCCATTGGGCAGGAGCTCCCTGGGGTTTGCTTGAGGGTGGTTTGATTCTTTTGCTTCTCTGGGTTTATGTGATATTGGTAGAGGAGATAATAGAATTGACTACCAAGCTATCCCGAGGCTTTAAATGACATTCCGTCCAGCCAGCACTCAAATTCCAGGGTCTCAAACCACTTTCTGCTGTCCCTGTGGAAACATGGAGACTTGCAGGCCATAGGAGATCCTGCTGGGGGCAGGGGCTGGGGGCAGTGCCCTGGCCTGGGAAAGGAGATGCTGTACCCTGGCCAGCTCTTCCCCTGGGCACTCAGCTCAGGAGTCACTTTGGGATTAGTGAAAGCCAAAGGAGGAGCTGAGCAGAGCCAGGCAGGCCACAGGCCATCGCAGCCTTGGCGGGGGCTTGGGGCTAGCTGCACGAGCTGAGTGGGTAAGATCAGGTCTGTTTCGAAGCACGAATCGGCCATTGCTTGGAAAATGTGAATATTCACAAATGCAAATGCTCAGTGCAAAAATAGTCACTCCACCTACACGCTAAACGAAGTCAAACTTCAGGAGGGAGGAGTAGAACTCCCAAGAGATGCACCAGCAGGACTGCTCGGCTGGAGCAGCAGCAGGTCTTGGCATCTCCCACCAAGTTAAACCATGGTAGGATGGCCAGCAAGCCAAGACCATGACAGTGACAGCAATGGTGGCTCTGGGGCTGGGGACCCACACGCCCCAGCAGGGTCCTGTCAGGCACTGTTAGAAGGAATGGGGATGGGAATTGAGCTGGCAGACCAAGGGAGAGGCCAGGCACAGGTAGGAAACCTGCAGGGGCATTTGGTTCTGCTGTGGGAAGGAGATAGGTCTGATCAGCAACGTCACCGAGAGGGACCTCACCACAGAGCACAGGATGGTGGGGAGAGGGGACCCTGCACACATCAGTCCAGCCTCACCTCTGCAGAGCTGTGCTCACCAAAGCAAGCTGACTGCCTCTTCCACAGCACGACGTGTGCTGAATTTGTGTCCTCACCCTGAGGGGGTGGGAGCTGCGCTGGCAGACTCGGCTTCAACCAGGGCAGGTTTTTTTCCTATTTGGAACACATTTTCTGCAAAAGTGGCTCATGAGAACCACCTGGCTCACTTCAGAGCTGGAGGAGTGACCCGCCGTGGCACTGCTGACCCACTGCAGTGGCAGGGAGGTGCTCCCCACTGAGGATTTGGGGGTGTTGGGCAGGTGCAGGGCTGTGGCAGGGAGGCCATGCTGTGTGTCACCCCCTCATGCTCAGCCTCCTTCCCACCAAGGCATCCAGCAGCTGGAGCTCTGCAGAGGGGGGAGCTGCAGGCAGGAGGTGGGGCAGAGGTAGACTCTGGGTGGGGAGAGGAGCAAGGACATTGAACAGTGGACAGGCAGGAGCTAGAGGGGACAGCAAAGGGGGGAGTGGAGCAGAGCAAAGGGACAGGACAGTGCAGGACAGGCTGGCTAGTGGTACACAGGGACATTCATCTGGTTCTCTTTTTGGTTCCCAGTGATCAGCTTGCTTTTCTTTCTTTTTTTTTTTTTTTTTAATTCAGCAAATTATATCTTTCAGCTTAGTTTCTATGGAAACAAGCTTGTAAGATCACTTTGTGTGCATGCCCCTGATTGGTTTTGAAGGCATCAGCCAATTTTAGCTGAATCTCACAGGGGGTTGAACTCTCAGAGTTAATTATGGTCCTCCCAAGGCGAAGCTCCGGGGGGGAGAAAGGTGTGGGCCTCAACACAGGCTGCTTTGCCCAGTACCTTTTGATGCTTTTGGAGCATCTCCAGTTGAGCACAGTGGTCCATGAGTTGTAGCCATTCTTTCAACAAAGGTCCCCGAGGGAAGCAAGCTTTAGTGCTCCCAGGATTCAAATAACTATTTGTTCTAGAAACAGTACTGCAACTTTGAAGCTGAGCGCTCTGCCTTGGCAGCCTTTGTTTGGCCTCCTTGTAGATACATCTTATGAAATCATTACCTGCTTCTTCACAGAGAGCCTCACATCATTCAGCTCAGTCCTGCCTGCGTGGTGAGGGTCTCTGAAATCCTGGTCACCTCTGACTGGGGTGAGCAGGGAACTGCAGGAGATGAGAGGAGGGCCTCATGGGAAAGGCAGCAGAGTGATACCCATCGCTGTGGTGCCCATTGCTATGGAGAGCCCTTCGTGGGCTCCTCATGGACCAGGCATTGCAAAAATCATGCTCTGGCCTCCTCATGCTGAGCCTGCTGAGCAGACAGGCTGGGCTATTGCTTTAGTGCTTCTGATCCCCGTGTGTCTTTGGGGATACTTATATCTCCTTTACATTTCAGCTGAAAAAAAATGAGATGACATTGATGTTTTGATGACATGAGAAATATGGCATGACACTGAGAGCATGAGAGTGAAGCTCATGGGGAATCAGGAAGGTCTGGTGCTGTTCATCACCATGTGGGAGCACATCTTCATGGGGATGAAGGGCCATGCTGGGTGACCCCAGGTGCTGAGCCCTGCCCCTGCGATGGAGAGGCAATGCAGTGGAGCATCAGGGGTGGCTCTGAACTGAGACCTGCTCTTCTGCTGAAAGAGCTGGAAAATGGGGTTTAGCCATGCTCCATTTGCACTTGGAGAGCTGTTTCAGTGCCCAGCACCTGGTCCTCCTAGTTGAAATGTGTCCTGTCTCTCTCCTTCTCTCTCGAGCCTGTGGATGGCTTTTCCCTCTAGTTCCTTGTCTCAGTACAACTGCTCCATGCCCTCCCGGGGCTTACTGCTCACTGAGAGGGCTATTTTTCTTTATTAACAGTCTCACTGGCAACCCATGCTCAGCAAAAGCTGCAGTGTGGGAAGCTGCACTGGAAGTGGGGAGAAATGTGACTCCCTTTGATCAAGGTCAGGGTCAGGACTTCTTCACTGGCACCAGCAAGAAGTGGCAGGAGAGGCTGATTGACATCACGTAGAGACGTTTGCCCCAGGAATGGGTTTCACAGCCACTGCCAAGCAGCCCAGCATCAGCAGGGCTGCCTGCAGCACATCAGGGCAGGCGAGGGAATCCGCACAACGAAGCCTTTGCTGAGGGCAGTGATGGAGCCCACTCCTCCCAGCAGAGAAGGGGTCCTCACAGGCGCTCAGAGTTGAAGCTGGGAGAGGACAGAGCAGCCCCACCACTCCACAGGGCTGCTGCTGTGCTGCTGGGCCATTTCCCAGAGGCTGACAAGTCCTTCCCTCCACACACTGCAGGGAAAGGCAACTGATGCCTTCGTGCCTGTGCTCCCCATATGTCTGCCCCCATTAAATCCCTCCTAGCACACGTCTAAGCTATTGCAGAGTTAGCTCAGCCCCCTCCCACGTCTGCAGCTATCATGCAGGACAGTGGGCAGGCTGCTTTCTGGTGGGGCTCAGTCACACGTGTGCAGGCTGGCAGGCAGGCTCAACAGAGCAAGGGACAGGGCAGCCCAGGCTCCTGCCATGGAGACAATGGCCAAGGCTGCTTCTTATACTCAGCTGATGGTTTTTGCTAAATTATCAGCAGCTTTATATATTTGGATCTCTGCCAATCTCCTTGAAACTGCCCAGGCAGCTCAGCTTTAGGGAGTGTTACTAGAAGAGGGACTGACCACAAGATTTCCACAGGTAAAAGAAACCCCACATCGTTTCCTCAAGCCTGTGGGAAAACTGACCAGCCATGGACTGAGCTGTGATGAGTCCCTAAGCAGACAGGGGTATAGAAGACAGAAATCCTCTCACTCATGGACCTGTGCATGGTCCTTACGTGGACACACATGCACATGTGGACACACTCACACGTGCCCCCTCCCCAGGCAGTGACACGGCCACGTGCAGACTCTGTGCACAGCTACTTGAGCACCCAAGTGTGTTCCCCATGTGGGCACACGCACACACAGACACTTTCTGCATGTGTGTGCTCACATTTCTGCAGTCAGCCTCTGGCTGAGCACATGCATGTACACACACACACGGTCTACTCAAACTCAGCTCTTCATAGGTGCTCGTATCAACCAAGTCAGCACCACTAATAATTTGCAGTTTCTAGGAGTCCTGACCACACAAGTCCTCAGCCTCATAACCACACTCACTCCCAGCACATTTAAGCTCCAGCCCTGTAAGTTTCTGAGCATTTGGAAGCCTGGAATCCATCCCAACCTGCATTTACTTACTTTTTGCAGAAATGGAGTTGAGTGAGGCAGCACAGAGCTGAGCACTCGGGTTTTGGTGGGATGTAGGAAGATATTGCAGAAAGCTGCTCCTCGGGTTGGGATTGCTGTCAGCAGTTCCCACGCTCACATCCCAGCCTCCCAGAAGGCACCAGGCACACTTGGAGGAGAGCAAATGATGTGAATCCTGTGAAATATCTTACCAGGCAAAGTGCTGATCTGTGATTAAGAGCATTTTTATCCTTGTGTCTGATCAGAGGGGAGCAGGTTATGACCCGTGACAGCTCAGAGTTGGGCACTTGCAGCAGTACCTCAGGGGCAGCGCTGAGGAGTGGTGCAGCTGAAAAGAGTGACAGCTGTCTCACAGAGGCTGTGTTAAAAAATTGGGTGTTTACAACAGTTATTTGCCTAAAAATGGTCTAACTATGACATACAAGTCATTGCATCCACAGACTTTGCAGCACAGCCCTGTGCGTCCATGCCCTGGGTGGCCAGGACAGCTCTGTGCTGGGTTTTGGAGGGATTTGCCAGACCCTGGTGGGCAGTCATAGAACCATAGAATGTTGGAAGGGACCTTAAAGAAGTTGCTCAATGCCCCATCCAACCTGGTCTTGAATACCTCTAGTGTTGGGTCATCTACAGTCTCCCTGGGCAACCTGTTCTAGAATCACCCTTAGTGAAGAACTTAATCTGTGATCTAGATCTCCCCTCTTCCAGTTTAAAGCCATTACCCCATATCCTATCACTACAAGGCCTCATAAAAAGTCCCTCCCCAGCTTTCCTGTAGGCCCCTTTCAGATGCTGAAAGGCCACAATGAGGTCAGTGGAGCCTTCTCTTCTCCACACCATGGTGTGTGCTGTGAGAGGGGTCATCAAGTCGCACAAAACCTGGCTCTTAACTGCTTCTGCACATCACAGCTTGGACTTCTTAACCTTTGACAGACTCTACTATAATTTTTCTGCCAATCTCTGGGTCCTGCAGAGAAGTTCAGGAGATCCAGGTGCTTCAGAAAGTGAGCACAGAATGAGAGTGCTCATCCTGAAATCTAGACTCAGCATTTGGGATGAGCAGCTCTTCATTATCTTGTTTAAAAACTACAGTTCTGTGATCCGAGACATTATCACAGCAAGTCCATGACCCTTTAGACACCACCTCAGAAAGCAAATTTGCCCAAACTGCTTAGCCAGGTTGCTCACCAACAACTTTGCAGTAAAATTTGTTTTTCTGAACCCAGAGATACATACTTGCAACGCTTAAGAAAGCCATGATCAGTTTAAACAGCATTTTTGCAAGCTAGTTGGGAAACGAGAAGATCATCTGATGCAATATATTGAAATTCCAGAGATATTTTTATTTATAAAAGAGATGGAAATAATTTTAAGTTAGAATTTTGATTTTTTTTTGGCTTGTATTTTTCTGATTATTGAGGTTTTTTTACTATTAGCTATTCTATCTTTTTTAAATTTCATGGCTCTGATTTTTTTCCCATTTTAATTTTCCCTGAATTTCCTTAAACCAATTAAAAATACTCAAGGATTGAAAATTAAAAATGCTCAGACTCATCTTGTGTGACCCTGGCTCGAGCTGTGGAGCTGGAAATGCCTGGGCATCTCCACTGCCTCCAAAGAGAGCCTGAGCACCTTGTTGGTGTGGGAACCATTGTTATCCTCCAATTGTTTGTCCCCACAGGGCTTCTTCCTGATCTTGTTGTTGATTATTTGGCTTGTGAGTGAGCTGCATTTCCCTGCTCTTTTTTAATTGGGAATGTTTATATCAGTCACACAAAACTGCAGCTCTCAGGCTGCAGTTACAGATGTCCTGGTCCATTCTTGATTAAATGTCTAAAATAATTCTCAGTCTCTTCAGTAATTAGGAAATATTCTCAGTGCTTTGGTATTTTTGCTGGTGCCTCCATCATTTCTTGTTTTGGCCAGGGCAGCAGCATGGACCTGCTGTCCCAGTGCAGAGAGACCTGACCATGATGGGGTACCTCACACAGTTTGGTTTGACCTCATCACTGCACTGAGTGTGAGGAAAGGGCATTATCTGTTCTGCCTGTTCCTCCTGCGCAGGGCCGTGGTGCCCAGGATGCCTTTTCCCTTCTGTGTGAATTACTCTGGAATATTCAGGACTATTTCCGACCTGTGCTGGGTCTTGTCTCTGATGAGCAGGTTAGGATGAGCTGTTTTGTTCAGAAGTCCATCCCAGCCTTACAAAAAGAAATATTATGGTGCATTCCTTTTTGTCCTCTCCTGTTCAGACTTCTGCACTCAGCTGGGTAGATCCACGCTGAGCACAAGCACCTTCATTTGCTAATATTTCACTCTAGGGCCTTTTGGAAAAGCTGCATTTTTTGAAACCTCTCTGTCAGCTACAGCTTTTGCTCGAGTTGCTCCCGTAAGAGTGCTGTACTTAATGAGGCTGGGATTGCTATTGGTCAGTCATCCAACCGTGACAATGTCTTTAACCAAACCAGAGAGGTTAGCTGGGACATGAGTCCAGAGCTGCCCCCTCCTGCGTGCTGCTGCAGAACAGGCTGACCTAGAAACAGCCCCACAGCAGATTATAAAACTGCTTTTCTGAACTTCTCTCATGACAGACGACTAAGCACGGGCCTGCATGGGCCTGCAGCTGCTCCTGGCTGCTCCCTAAGGGAACAGGTTTTCTTTTTGATGTCTGTTGCTCAGTCATGTTTTCAGAAAGCCAGGAGGACAGGCTATATTTGCACTGAGCCTTGCTGGGTAGGCTGCTCTTCACCGTGCATTTCCAGACCATAAAGCAGATAACCCTCTTTGCCATGTGCTGGATGAACCACCCAGAGGAACACCGTCATAGACAGGGTTTGCTCCTGAGCCAGAAGAAAGGAGTGCAGGTCCCAGAGGCGTGCAAGCCAGAGGTCCACCAAAAACTGCTGCTCTGTCTCTTTGGCCTTGTGTTCTCAACCCCATCCCTGCAAACCTGCCCGGCCCCCGAGACGCACCCCTCCTGACAACCCCACCGGTCCTTGTTGAGCTCTTGTTCTCCCTTGCAGAGCATCCACCTGTCCTTCTTGCGCACGGTCCCGCCCTACTCTCACCAGGCCAACGTCTGGTTTGAGATGATGAGAGTCTTCAACTGGAACCACGTCATTCTGATAGTCAGTGACGACCACGAAGGTCGTGCTGCACAGAAGAAGCTGGAGACGCTCTTGGAGGAGAGAGAATCCAAGGTCAGTTCCTGAACGTTGTCTTGTAGCTTTGTTTAAGCAACAACAACAAAACTAGAAGTCTCGGGCTGTTGTATGTATGTAGATTTCTGTATGTAAAACACCTTTTCTTTCCATTGTAACATGGCTAACATGCTTAAAGCATCAACAGTGTCTGACTAGTACCTGACAGAACTTTGTACTTTATTCATTTCACTTGCTTTGCCATGGTCAAAATCTCCTACATGTAAATCGACTACAAAATGAAGGGAAGGATAACCTGGAGCTCTGCAAATGCCTCGCCCAAGATTCCCACCTAAGGAGAGGACCAGGCGCTCAGCTTAGGGAAGCACCTGCCCCAGGGGGCCCCCAGGGGCCAGGCAGACCCAGCAGTGGCAATCCAACCCCGAAAAGCAGCTTCTGAATTGGCTAACCGGAGCTCAGCTTAGAGGCTTAGGAGGGGCAGTTGGCACGCGGGGGGTGCTGCCCCCGCCCCGGGGAGCTGCCGGCTCTGCGCCCGCAGGCTGACGCCCCGTCCCCATCTCCATCGAAGCCCATGCTGCTTTCCTGACACCCCATGCTCTTCCCAGAGGGCGGCCGTGGCTGGCAGGAGCTTCTCCAGGAGGTGCACGGCACCTGCACGCAGGGCCCCGCGCGGGAGCAGGGAGGGAGCCAGGGGAGGTCCCCGAGCCTGCTAGAAATTCGGGAGGACTGCCACAGACCTGCTGCCGTTGAGTAGAAGGACCAAGCAAACATTCAAGATGAGCAGGGAAGGAGAATGCAGGGAGCCGTTGGGCTGCAGTGCTTCTGGAAGGCAAGGAGCCACCTCCTGCCCTTCGGGATGAAGTCCCAGCATGTCCTCTCACCTGGGACAGTGAGATCCCCTGCGGGTGGGCAGAGTCTGAGCCCATAACTAGGGCTCCAGCAGCATCAGGGCAGGCACTCGTTCCTGGCTGTTCCTTCCTGAGTGACAGGGAGGGACCACGACCTTCTCTGGTCAGCCGCTGCCGGACGTCTGTCCGTTGGCTGTTGAGGAGATGTAGCCGTAGGCACTTCTTGTGCTTGGAGTTGGCAGCTGAGCTGAGATCAGGGAAGCAGCCTGCCACTGCTCTTGGCCACCTCTTGTCAAGCAACTGGAGAAATAACAGATGCAGGGGTGCAGGCTGGCACAAGCCACACTGGCAAACAGGCTTCTGTTTTTGGTGGTTGTTTCCAAGAAGTTTCATCCTTGATGCATCCTGGTCCATCATGAGGCACTGGTGTGCCATCAACCATGGTGGGATCTTCCTGCCTCCAAAAGAAGCTTCCTGCTGGGTGACAGCAGCCCAGTGTTTCTTTCCAAAGCCTCTTCCCATCACAGTGTCCCTCATCCAGGGAGAGCTGTGGAAGGGTTGTTCCCACTGTCAGTCTGTTGTCTCTTTCTTTGCATCTTTTGATTTCTACTTTCAGTTTTCCTACAGCTCCTGTGCCTCCTCTTCTGCTGCTCCCTCTCGTGCCTCCACTCTCTGCTTGCTCCTTGCAATGCTCCCAGGCACAGGGTGTATTTCTTCTTCAGCCTGCTCATCCTACAGGAAAGCCTTTGAGATCTGGGGCTTGAAAGTATGTGAGGAGGGAGGCTCTGTCTTCAGACCTGCCCCACATGTGCCCTGCATCTATGATATGTTTTGGTGTCTCCTGGGAGCCACTGGGAGTGGCTGTTCTCCATCCTGGGGCAAGTGCTCTGACAGTGGGTGACCTTGTCGTCCCTTTGGAGTGTGCCACCACATCTCGTTTCTTTTTCCCTTGAGGAGCTTGCTCTGGCCAAACTGACTGATCTTGAAGGTGGTAGATGTCCCTGTTGGGGCTTTCCTGTCTTCCTCAATTTCTTCTGCTGTCTAATTGCCCTTCTAATTGCTCTTCTAATCACTGGTGTGCTGACTCTCTTCATGCCATGAAGTGAATCCCTGGGCCCCTCCCCAGCCTCCTCAAGGGCAGCCTGGGCCCTGGGGAGGGAGCAGGCAGGAGATCTGCTCTTGACCTCTTCAGGGCTTGCATCACAGCCCCCGAGGGTCTGGGGGATCTGCTATGGCTCAGAGCCTCACCTGCCTACCTGAGCTCTCGAATCTGGGTGTGGCTTGTCCTCCGGAGTCCGCGCTGGCCCTGGGTGTCACTCAGGAACCACTCTCTGGATTTGCACCTCAAGTAGGTGTTCCAAGCTCAGCACTTGGGCCAGGCTGGCCAGTCCTGGTACATCCCTCGTGCTTAGCCCTGTCTTAGGTCTGACTGCAGGAGCTCTCAGCCTGGAGTTGCTGCTTCATCTCGGTACAACTCTGCTCGTTCATCTGGGCAGGCCACCGTTGCTCCACCACTGCTGGGGTTCAGGAGGGAGTGCCAGGCACTGGGAAAATCAGTTTGGCCAAGTCAGAGGTGGCAGGTCCCTGGTGTGCTGAGTGCCTTTCTCTGGGACAGTGCTGTTCCTGAAAGTTGAAATTTTTTGAGACAATGTTGGAGAACATGGTGGAGAGTGAATTTTGAATTTCGGGGTCCCTGTGTGAAACATGGACTGAGGAGCAGGGAAGGGCTGCAGGACCACACAGAAAAACAGGCAAGAGAGGAGACATTAGTGGCCTAGTTCTGGCAATAGGGATAGTGACGCACAGAGGCAGAAGTGATCAGAGTCCATCAGGTCCAGCTTTGCTGCATCTGAGACTCTGCTTCACTTTGCTGAGCAGCTTGGGCTGAAATGCCAGCACATCCTGGCACACAAGGTGATTCGTGGCTGGAGGTTGCAAGATGGATGACCAAGTCTCTGGCTAAATTGGAGGTGCCTGAGGAAAAGTTCTCATCACTGGAGAATATCCATGTCCTGCTGCAGCTCTGCTCTCCCTGGAGGCAGTTGTCACTCCAGGTCTCACTGCAACCTGAGCAGACCCTCAGAAGGCACTGCAGAAATCCTCACCATGGACAGCATCAGAAGTGAAGGCAGACTTTGGCTCCAAGCAGATTTTACCTCCTCAGATACTTTTCCTTGCAAGGACCTAACTTCTCTGAGCAGCAAAAAACCTGTCAGGCCGTGTCCAAGGAGAAGAAAAGAAAGATGACACAGTTTCACAGAAAGAGATCTGGCAAAATGTCCTGTCAAAGACTGGTCTGAGTGCTCAGGAAGAGGCGAATGATTTAGCTTGGAAAGCAAGACGCAGAGATAAAACCTGGCTGCCTGAGGAACAACCTGGGGACACGAACTCTTGCATTACTGGGGTGCAAATGGTCAGGTTCCTGGCAGGGTTCGGTTGCCATTGGCACAAAATGCAGTGAAATGGAGATCGGAATAGAGCCGTGTCCAGTATTCCATACACATGGGTCAGGGATGCCCATCTGGAGTGGGATGGGGACAGTAAGAAGAGGTCAGGCTATGCCTCACCAAAATCTGCCCAGCACTATCCTGCAGGCACCGTTGGGTTGATGTTATTGCCCTGACCACGGGGGCTGCTCCCAGGAGGATCCACAGGGCTCTGTGCACGTGGCTGCAGGGTCAAGGCTCCCAAGAGCAGAGGCAGTTGCCCCTCAGCACACTGCCTGGAGGAGAGACGTTCTGGAGAACCTCCAGAAGTAGGTTTTATGCCCCTGGCTCCTTCAGGGCCATGCAGCAGAAGTGTCTCAGGCAGGAGACAAGGGCAGGAGCAGGGTCTCTGCTCCAGTCCCTAATCTGCAGGGTCAGCACACACTGAGCCTCCTGCCCCTAGTCCAGGTGCCATGCTCCAGCCAGCACAGAGACCACCACGCAGTGAACCCCACTAGCCACGCGTAGGGCCAGGTTGTGGCCACCATGGTCTCCAACAGCTGCACCTCCCAGGGCCACCCACGTGCTGCAGAGCGACAAGGTGCCCTCGGCCCTCCCCAAGCACCAGGTAAAAGCTGCAATGTCATCCCATGATCACCATTGCTTCATATCGCCACGCTTTGAGCCAACACGGGATGTAGAGAGCTTTTTCTTTCTCTTTTGGATGGCAACAGAGCTCCAAAAAGCTGCTCCCTTCTCGCAGGAGGTGAGAAGTTCAGCTGAGACACCTCACTTCCTGTGAACTCTCTTAGGGTGAACACGATTGTAACGATACTAGTGACAGTAGTGATGCTAATACTGTTAACTGTAACCGCTTGCGTTTATCCAGCACGTTCCGTAGACAACATGTTGTCCTTTACTTCCACAGTCATCCCATGGAAATCCCACCACTTAGGCCCTTAGAGATGCGTAGATTGTTTCTGAGTTTAAGATAAAATTTTCTTGCTGAAGAATTGCCCAGAATTCCCAGAAGGGAAAGGCAACTGCACCGTGACAGCGCTGACACTCAGGCTTGCTCTAAGCCCTACGGCTTTGCACCGTGACGCTCCCGGCAGAGCTGAGGCACTCTCTCCTGCTAGTGGTTTTTGCGAGCTCCAGCGTTATAGAGACCCTTTAGCAAACAGTGGAGGAGGAGGTGGATGTTGGATTGCTTTACTACACGTCATTTTCAACTGTTTATAATATTCTTCTGTGTCTACATATTTTCTCTGTGCACATTATTCATCAGAGTAAAAAAAGGAACTATGAAAACCTCGACCAACTTTCCTATGACAACAAGCGAGGACCCAAGGTATATATGCATGGAAATGCACGCCGCCCACCAACCTAACTAGCAAATGAAAAGTAGCCACAGCCACCAGAAAAATAAAAAAAAAGAAAAAAAAAAAAAAAGAGAGAAAGAGAAAAAAAAGAAAAGAAAAGAAAGAAAAAAAAATTCCATGACTATGTTTCTTGGTAGCACGTTTTTATGTTGAGATAGTTTGGTTTGGACTTGAGAATGGAAACCTAGCCAGCTGACCCTGGAAGGATTTCTTTTTGAAACATGCATGTGAACCAGTAATTAACTTGCAAGTTTCTTTTTTTTTTTTTTTTGAAAAGTTGAACCAACCCCCTTTCCTCCCCAAAGGAAACGGTTCCTTGGTGTAAGTTGCTCACTTTTATTCCCAAAGGTTAACCCTGTGCAATATGTTTTTTTTTCATTTCCCATGTTTTTGAAAAACAACACTCGTTTGAGTTTTCAATTGCATTTCAAAGCCTTTTTCTCTTTCCTGTTCAATGCACGCCTCTTTTTGGGTCTTGATTGACTTCAGTTTGCATGCACAGTGCAAAAAAAAAAAAATAAACCAAACCAAAAAGCCAAAACCTTTAGAAGAGAAAGGAAGGAAGGAAAGAAAGAAAAGAAAGAAAAGAAAAGAAAAAAAAAGAAAAATGTAGCTATAACCAACCTTATTTAGCAGACTTTTGTGCAGTTTAATGAATTCTCTTGACCCTTTTCTAGATAGCATGGCTCTCCCAACCAGTCCTGGGGCTCCCTCACTAACCAGCTTTGCTCACACTAATCACAGGCTGAGAAAGTGCTTCAGTTTGACCCCGGGACCAAAAACGTGACATCGCTGCTGCTGGAGGCTAAGGAGCTGGAGGCTCGTGTCATCATCCTTTCTGCCAGGTACAGCCCAGCCGTCCCCTCCCCTCCCTGCTCTCATCTCCTGCTCTCCCCTTTGCAGCACTGCCAGGCGCTGGGGTCAGCACAGATTTGGGGCATGTCGCCCTTTCATGGAGCGTGGGAGATGACCACCACGGCAGGTGGTGGGTGCCGTGCTGCTGGCCAGGGAGGTCAGATGGTCAGATGGAGATGTCTGGCTGTCCTGCTAAGCGTCAGCAGCTGCAGGAGCAGCAGTGGGCACTGGTGATGTATCCTGACCCACCTGCGAGGGGCGAAATCTTATTGCCCCTGTGCCTATATACAGTGAGCTACAAGGAATAGGCCAGATTTGCAGATGCTCAGCAATGCTGGGTGCGGTGGGATTAGATGAAACTGAAAGGTTCCCATTGCACCAAGGAATTAGCCATTGGCTGGGAGAACTAGTTATCAGAGGAGCACTGCCTGGGGATGTGTTTTCCCCCCTGCCCTGCCACCCCCTGGGGACCCAATGCAGCAGAAAAGGGGCCGTCTGGCACCTGGAGCCACATTGCCGTTCCCTTCTTCTCGTTGCAGTGAGGATGATGCGGCCACGGTGTACAGATCAGCAGCCATGCTCAATATGACGGGCTCCGGCTACGTGTGGCTGGTGGGGGAACGGGAGATATCGGGCAATGCCCTGCGTTACGCCCCTG